GAAGTAGAAGTTCAACACATTCTTGTTCTCCTATTGTACATCTTAAGGATGTAACCTGAGAAAATAACGTGTTCAGTGTGTTTAAGTGCTATGTCACTGAAGTAGATTCTGGCATACGGAGAGTGTACAATTTCCTCTTAAGAAAAATTTTATTGTGCAATAATGTGGCCTCATACAATTTGGTGAGATGATCTCATATCTCCTTAGTTGTCTTCTTCTCCTTGATGCTTGACAATACTTCATCTGTTAACGCTAGATGAAAGTTTGCCATAGCATTCACATCCATTTCGATCCATTTGTTGTTATCTGTGAAATCTATCGGCCTTTCACTGATAGCTGCTAGACAACCGTCTTTCCTCAGGATAACCTTCATCTTCAATTTCTACAATGAGAAATTTCTCCCATTGAATTTTTCAATATCAAATTTCGTTGTCATAGCTTCTTTTACGGATATCTTCCACTATTTCACTATCGTGAATAGTTCTCTGGAACCTTCAAAGATTGGGTAATACCTTCTTACTTTCTTATGTTGGATGATCCACCTTTTAGTGGCAACCACAAAGACAATAAGCAGATATTACACACTCAAATCTGGCTCTGATACCAATTGTTGCGGAAGACGGCTATCGAATAGAGCAAAATCACAACTGATAATTTGAGAAAATAAAAATGAAGATAAAATAGACACAAAATAAACGTGAAAAACCCCTAAATAATATAGGGTAAAAACCACGAAAAAAGGTAGAAGAATTTCACTATGAGAAAATATGAATTGCAACCTCTCTCGATCTACCAAGGAGAAAACAATGATAATTCTCTCTTGATAAAAAGGAGAAAACAACTCTCAAGAAACTCTCTAAATTCTCTAGTATTGAAAGAAAGCTAGAATGCTTTAGGATGGTTTTGAAGCTAAATGAGCTAGGGTATTTATAGTTGAAACTTAAGGACTAATCTTGTAAATACCCTAAAAGTAAAGTGACTAAATTGGGTATTTTACCCTTTCACATTTTCAACAAAAATCTGCAGCCCAACCATCCAAATTTGACTAATTAATTCGGTGTATTTAATATGCACACTTTCCACCGAAAGTTTTGAAAGTAATTGTAAAATTGCTGACTTTTCAACAAATACTTTAGGCATTCACTTCATTGTATATTGTTCTTTGTGTTGCCAATGCCAGGACAGATGTTTCCCAAAGATTGATTTTCTGAAGTCATACATATGTTCGACATTATTATGATTATGCTCAACATGATGACTACAATGATACTATAGAAACCAACATTCATTTTTTTCAAAGACATGCACTTGGCATATATATCTTTAGGGAAACATGTTTTAGGTGGATAATTGCACTCGAAATAATTCGATTCGAACTCATCCAATTACCACGTCTAACCACCAATCTCCCTTCGATGGAAAAAGGAAACAGTTCCATAAAACTACCGGTCGGCCAACTTTTAGACCAAACATATGCGAATTAATTTTCAGTCAAATAAAGCAAGTCAGCTTTGAATGGTCACTAATTTTGAGAATGACATTCCCTGAGCGGTAAAAACCATCAGCAAGCCATGTTCCCGCCAATGAGCGACCATGTTGTCGATAAAATAATGTAGAGACATTACATTAGACATCAGTGATGTACTCCGAAAGTGATGCGTGAAATAAGTGTGGGTTAAAATCGACATAAACCAAGGTCCCATTAGAAAAATTATTTCATGTACTTTTTTCAACATGTCATCAATAATTCTAACCAATTAAAAATATCCACATCAATTACAAAGATATCAATTAATTAAAATGTTGCTAAAGCTCATTTATAGACTTTCCTTTTTAATATCATTTTCCTTTGTAATAAGTATTTTTCTTTAAAAATATTCTCATAGTTATTAAATGTAGTCTCTAAACTGGAGTATTATTGTCAATAAGATAAACACAAGAATCATAGTGTTGCAACTACGGTCGAAGAAGGCCTCAAACAACTACAGAAACTCTTTCAATCTTTGCCCATTATTTATCCACATTTACATTTTTTGAGTAATCATTTTAAATCTTATATGGATTCGAGTTACAGGCTGGGAAAATGCAGAAAAAAAGGAGGCATGGTGATGTATGCTACGGTACTCATTGTAATGTGCTTTGTCATGTTGGTCCTCTTAATCCTCAAGGAGATACTCTTCTGATCCACAATCATGTCATTTTTCTCGACAATTTATAGTTGACCTACCATGCGAGCATATTATTTAAGATGTCAAGAAGCAACAATTTTCTTATCCGGCAGCATAAGAATTAGAGAAAATAACCTCAGTGACCAAAAATCTCAGATAATATACGATTTTGACCATTTTTTTTTTTGATTTGCGAAAATGACCAACAAAATCGCAATGCGATCTCTAATTCGCATTGCGATCTCCACTATCGCAAATTCGCGTTGCATTTCGCGTTGAGATTTTTCATTTCGCGTTGCGATTTTCCAGTTCGCGTTGCGATAGTTGAAAATCGCGTTGCGATAGTCTACAGTTGTCGTTGCGATTTTCCAAATTCGTTGTGATAGTTAAAAAAAATATTTTGTTTCTCTAAAAAGATAGTATCCGCGCGGACGTGTCGAAGACACGTACGACCACGACCACGACCACGACCCGACCCGAGACGGACGGACGGCGGCGGCGGCGCGCGAGAGTCCCCCTTGTTCTCTATCACTCAACAAGGAAGTGAGAAAGCCAAGCCTTAAATATTATTCCCAATAGTGTTTCCAATACTATGTGGGATTTGAGCATTACCAACACTTGTTCCCAATACTATGTGGGATTGAGCCTTAAATAGTGATATTATTTTTTTAATGTTTTGCTTAAAATTGCAATAATCGCGATTGATTGTAGATTCACTTTTAATTATGACATATTTAATCGTATAATACTAATGCAATTGGTTGCTAATTCAGTTGTTTTAAGGTGCATGATTGTTAATTGTTTCCTGAATAATCACATTGTATTGGAAACAAGTGTTGGTAATGCTCAATCCCACATAGTATTGGAAATACTATTGGGAATGGTATTTAAGGCTTGGTTTTCCCACTTCCTTATTGAGTGATAGAGAACAAGGGGGACTCTCACGCGCCGCCGCCGCCGCCGTCCGTCTCGGGTCGTGGTCGTGGTAATACGTGTCTTCGACACGTCCTATCTTTTTAGAGAAAATTCTTAAGAAACAAAATCTTTTTTTTTAACTATCGCAAAGAATTTATAAAATCGCAACGACAACTGTAGACTATCGCAACAACAACTGTATACTATCGCAACGCGATTTTCAACTATCGCAACGCGAATTTGCGATAGTGGAGATCGCAGTGCGAATTAGAGATCGCATTGCGATTTTGTTGGTCATTTTCGCAAATCCAAAAAAAGTTGGTCAAAATCGTATATTATCTATGATTTTTGGTCACTGAAAGAATTATCGAAAGAAAGAATTATTATAAAGGTAAATGATATTGAGAAAGGAAAGTTCATAAATGTGGCAGATTTTCTTCTTCGAGCATTTTAATTAATCGATATCCTTGTGTGTAAATGGTGTGAAAAAAGAGATTGATATGAATATTTTAATTGGTTGAGACCATTGATGACACGATAAAAAATATTCATGAAATGATTTTTTGTCTCATTGACATCCCGATTCCTCGGGAACTCGTATACGACGTTCACAACAATAAATAGTTGATATTTGTCTTTCGTTAAAAATAATTTTATTGTTTGCAAATTGTCTGTCATTTTCAATAATTTTATGTAAATCACCAGCACCAATCATAATAATAAATAATAATGCAGGCAGGGCTGCTTGGATAAATTTGGATTTGAGCCCCATAGGCCTTTAAATCCAAAAAGTCAAAAGTCAACTCTTTCGCTTAGTTCCTAAGCAAACCCAGTAGGCGGGCCCAATGAGAGTTTTTAATGGGCCTTAAATTCAACTGAATTATCCGGAAGTCAACTCTCTTTGCTTAATTCCTAAGCTAGGCCAGTTCTTGGTTCTCCAACACGTGCAGAAGCCGCATGCGGTGATATCTCCACCTAACATTTCTTACAAATGGAATGTACACCAAATATTCTTCTTATGTTATGGTTATTATTATTTTTATATATTTACATATTATAAATAGTATCTATATATATGAATTAACAATTTATTTACATAATTTTTAGCATGTTCATTATGTTATTTGATATGTAATATCATGTTTTACTTAATCTATTTATAACATATTAAGCGTTGCCGTTGTCATGATTGAGATTATGGGTTAATTTTCCCATAACAAAATGGAATATTTTCTTTATAAACAATAATTTATATGAATTTTCAATTTTAGCCCTATGTTTTCTAAAAAAAAATTAAGAAATAATTTATGTTATGTAAAAATAAATTAATTTCTATCTGCCCACTAAACACTCAAAAGAATCTCGAATCAATTTAGTTTTCCTTCAACATGATCACTCTTTTCCTAAAATATTGCACTATTTTGAAAAAAAAATTAAAAAAAATAATAATAAGATAATATATTAATATATTGTAAAAATAATTTTAAATAATTCAAAATCATAAATGAAATGTTCTTACTTATTCACTTTAAAATATATATACTAAATAAGTTTTTTAGAATGATCAATCTGCTCAATATATAATATGATAAGAACTTAAAGAATATTTAAATTAATTTTTTTTAATTTAATTAATAATAAATTAATATTTTGAATCGAAATATATATTTTTAATATAAGATTAAAATGTATTTTTTTTAATAGTAAAAAATAAAAGTGATTTTTAATAAACTTTTGTGGATTTAAATATACAGACTATTTTGTGGATTTAAATTAAAAAATACTCATAAATTTTATAAAAAATAACGCTTTCAAGCACTTGTAAACAGTTTCTAATAAATTTTAAATGTTTTCATAAGATTTTCATTTTAAAACATGAATTTCTACTAGATTTTAGCGGTCATATCCGTTCTAACGTCACTTCTAAACAGTTTCGAATTTCTTCCTCCTTAAATCACCGTCCTTGTTGGTCCTTTTTCCGTAGAATCGCTCGAATCAATCAAAGTAAAAGCCTATTCTCTTCATCTTCAGGTTCTGTTTACACTTTCATATTCCGCCGATGGATCTCCGTCAGTTGATCAGAAATCAAACCGACGTCGCTTTCAGTCTGACGAAGCACGTTTTCCAAACTGAAGCCAAGGTTTCGAACCTGGTGTTCTCGCCGCTGTCTATCCACGTTGTGCTTAGCATGATCGCAGCTGGCAGCAAGGCTTCCACCCTCGACCAGCTCCTCTCTTTCCTCAAGTCAGAATCCAGTGACCAACTCAACTCTTTCTCCTCCGAGCTTGTTTCCGTTGTCTCCCACGACGGAAGCCCCGCAGGTGGGCCCCGCTTGTCTTTTGCCAACGGTGTTTGGCTCGATAAGTCTCTCCCTCTCAGGCCTTCTTTCAAACAGGTCGTGGATCATGTATACAAGGCTGCTTCCAATCTAGTCGATTTCCAAAACAAGGTAATTTATTTCCTTTTATATTGCTTGCTTATTGAATGAATAGGGATGGTGACGGAATGAAATAAATACTCAATAACTTTTGTTTCTGCGTATAGATTTGGAATCCGATGTGTTTCTTTTGCAATTGCTGCTGTAAAATCTTCAATTTTTGAGGGGTGATAAAAGTAATAAATCCTTATTTCCAATACATGTAGCGTGTAGATTCCGTCAGTCTAGTTTAAATTTTACAATTTTGATACACATGCATACAAAATGGACCAAGATTCTGCAATATGGATGCATGTTCCATTTATGTTAGCAAACAAAATAGTCTCTTGATGCTGAATGTTAAAACTCGATCCCCAGAAGTATCCTTGTAGGTTTAATCATAGCCACTCACCATTAGGTTCACAATTTAAGAGACATATTCAAACTTTGGATGACAAAGAATAAATTTCGGACCAAGGACCACAAATACACTATTTGGCAGTACAATCTCTATTCAAACATTCAATGAAGTCTCCACACCAAATGCACTTGGATATAACTCAAACTTCATGGTATTAGTAGGTTGGAATATTGATCGCCATGTTGGCTTTCTGGCAACAATAGGGTAGTTTTATTCTCATGTATAATGTATTTATACTAATAATGTATCAGATCGTTGGTCGTTTTGCCTTTGTGCATGAAATTAGTTCTTTGCTACCATCAAATTTTTAGTAACAGCAAGCTTCAAGGAATCTGCAATTTAATCAGATTAGGAAATTGAGAAATTCCCCCTAGAAGCGTGTTTTCACCGATGGTGAAGCTCCAGTGCGTAGTGCTAACTATCCGAAGCACTTCTTGTACAGAAATTACAATCACCGTAGCAGAAAAGCGGTTAAGAGCAAACATGACCTTCCTTGAGTTTTGTACTTAGAACTTTTGCCTCATTTACTGCAAGATTTGCAGCATATATCTCCATCTTTTTCACCTCCAATTTATCTTCCTTAGCTCTACTACTTTTTGGAAGCAAGCGAGTTCTCCATAGATCATATGCACTTGTACTTTTCAGGCGATAGAAAATCAAGGGCTACTTTAATGCATGACGGACTGTTTCCTACTTGATGCTGCCTCATTCAACTGAACTTTGATAAACTAATGATAATCAAGTACAAACCACTTATCGAAAGAAATAGTGCATGAATATTTCCAGTACCATTAGACAATAACGCAGATGATAATACTTTATGGATTATATTCACGTCACCTGCTTGCCACTTTTGTTTTAATTATCATGTTGTTGGTCTATTTGTTTGAAGGCTGTTCAAGTGGCCGGTGAAGTGAATTCTTGGGCTGAGAAGGAGACTAGCGGTCTTATTAAAGAAGTTCTTCCTCCAGGATCAGTTGATGCTTCAACAAGGTTTATATTTGCTAATGCACTCTATTTCAAAGGAGCTTGGAATGAAGCATTTGATGCATCAAAAACAAAAGACTATGACTTTCACCTTGTAAATGGCAATTCTGTTAAGGTGCCTTTTATGACTAGCAAAAAGAAGCAAATTGTTAGTGCCTATGACGGTTTCAAAGTCCTAGGGCTTCCATATAAACAAGGTGAAGATAAACGTCGTTTCTCCATGTATTTCTTTCTCCCAGATGCAAAAGATGGTCTGCCAGCTTTAGTAGATAAAGTGAGTTCTGAATCTGGCTTCTTAGAACACCACCTTCCTTCTCAACCAGCTGAAGTGGGTGAATTTAGAATCCCAAGATTCAAGATTTCATTTGGACTTGAAGCTTCTGCAGTTCTGAAAAGATTAGGGCTTGAATTGCCTTTCTCCGGTAAAGGAGGTTTGGCAGAGATGGTTGATTCGCCTGAGGGTCAGAACCTCTATGTTTCAAACATATTCCACAAGTCTTTTATTGAAGTTAACGAAGAAGGACAGAAGCTGCTGCTGCTACTACTGCTGTCATAAAACTCAGGGCTCTGTTTGTTCAAGATCCAATAGACTTTGTGGCTGACCACCAAAGATTAGGGCTTGAATTGCCTTTCTCCGGTAAAGGAGGTTTGGCAGAGATGGTTGATTCGCCTGAGGGTCAGAACCTCTATGTTTCAAACATATTCCACAAGTCTTTTATTGAAGTTAACGAAGAAGGGACAGAAGCTGCTGCTGCTACTACTGCTGTCATAAAACTCAGGGCTCTGTTTGTTCAAGATCCAATAGACTTTGTGGCTGACCACCCGTTCCTTTTCCTGGTCAGGGAAGATGTGACTGGAGTTGTTCTCTTCATTGGGAATGTCCTCAATCCTCTTGAAAACTAATAAATCAGCCATGCTACTTTGTGGATGACCTTGTTACTGGAATGGTCTGTCTTTTGACCTATGTAAATTATGCTTTGTTGTTGCCTTTATTTATGTACTTTTTCTTAGTTGTTCAGCCTATGTTTAACTACTGCACGACTATATGTAATAAGTCACATAAGAAATAAATTACGTGTCTTGGTTTTTGAAATGTTGAATACTCGAATCTTTTGTACCATTAATGTCAAACAGTTGGGTCGAAGTGTGAAAGGTGATGAAGACTGTATTGTTTGTTTTTTTTTTCATATATAATCACCGATAATTGATCGATTGATCAATTAATTAAATTAGGATTAAGTATTACAAAAATTATTACGATAATGAATTTTTCAATTCAATTTATTACGTTTAATGTCAAAATTCAAACTTTAATCTTTTTAAAAAAATATGATGTCTCATACAATCATTTTAGAATTATTAGAAATCCGATTTCTTTGAAACTCAACTTTGCGTGTTTCAGGAATATTTAACGAAAATGAAAATAAGCAGAACTTGCACAAATTTTCTTTCCTTTTTATATATTTCCCATTATTGGAAGTCCATGGATACGTAATTAAGGGATAAATAAGAATAATCGCTTCCTGAAAATTTAAAATTATTATATATTTTAAATATTTAAATATTTTTTATTATAATTTTATAATATATTTTAAATTTTTAAATATTTTTCAATTAAAATTTTATAAATATCTCTTTTTAAAATTTAAAAAATTAGATATGAAATAAAATGATGCGTTGATCTCTAAATATATAACTACACAAAGTTGCTTTATTTAATCATTTTCTGCTTTCTCATTTACTTATTATATTTTATTTTGCGTAGGTGATTCATTGTCAGTGAACGGGAAAGATAACAGAACACAATACTTGGAACTTACCTCCATGCTTTTATTATTGTCAGTGAACGGTGATTACATTTAGGAATCTGAAAAATCTACTACATACTCCGTTCTAAGTGAAAAAGATTACAGGGATTGCATAATAGGATATTGACTGAAAATCAAAAGGGAGAAGATGGGTGAACTTCACCGAGAACCAACATCACCACCAACCGCACCGCAAGCGGCAGCACCACCGAATCTTGCCCTTTCAAGAGGACCTACTTGGATTCCTGTTGAGCAACTCCATCAGCTTCAATAATGCATCCACTCCAATCCTTCTTGGCGTCAGTTTCGCTTCCTTCTGTGATCAAATATTTACCTTTTAGTTTGATTAGAAAGCTGGCTAAAGCTGAATATTTTATATTACACTTGATTTCCTTTTAGTTGTTATAGCTAATGTTTTCATTTGGCTTCCATGTTTGTATTGTACTTGTTGAAAAATATAGAAGGGATCTGCCTAAGATTCTTCCTTTATAAAAGTGCTTCGTTAATAGTTTCATTTTTTTTTCCGATATGGGTTCTTTTCGTTAGATTCTTTAAGAACTGGACAACTATGTATCATTTCTGATTCTCTTTCGTTTTCATCTACTCATATTACTTTGTACCTTTTAATACCCTTTTCACCTTATCTAGGATGAATATGTTGTTTGTTTTTAGTCTCTGAATAATTGGCCTGGGTAACCACTTTTGGTTTCATGTAAGTGAAACTTTTTTTAGGATGGGAATATGGAATGCTTAGCATCTAACCTCAGAGAATCAACTTGTTTAACAGCTCAAGCTCTTTTACTGGCTTTCCAACGCTACATCGTGAATCTTGGAACTACAGTCTTAATTGCAAGTAATATCGTGCCTCCGATGGGTGGGGATCATGTATGTTGTTATGACCAGCTTTAATAGTCTCAACACAATAACATTTTTTTGAATATGATGCTTTCTTAAATCTCAAATTCTGAATTCTCTGTCTTCATGAACAGGGTGATAAAGCCCGAGTTATTCAAGTGTTGCTGTTTATGTCTGGTATTAATACTCTGCTTCAAACGCTTGTTGGCTCATGGCTTCCCACAGTGATGGGTGCATCTTTTGCATACACCTTATCATTTCTTTCGATCATCAATGATTACAATGATGAAGCCTTTGCAACTCCTCGTGATGCATGTAAACTTTAGTAAGATATAAGAAAAAGTAGTGAAAGGAACTTATTAATTATAGTCTTTTGTGCTGTACTTAAGTTGGGTTATTCTTAAATCAATATGTAGATATAATATAATTTTTTTCTTTAGGTTTTATAAGTTATAAATTTCTATTTACTGAGGTCATGGATATTGTGAATGGTCCTGACTCCTGACTTGGACACAGTAACTGATGAATCAAATGAATGCTTCTTGATTTCATGCCTGCCATGCAAGAGACATTCTTTTGTCTCTCCTACTTGAACTTAATTATGCTTTCTCTAATTTCCTTTTGAGAAATGGTTTTAGTTTGTGTCTACTATCTTTTCTCAAATCACAATGCCATTTTATAGGTTATAAGCTATATCATCCTTGGTGTTCAGAGGTAGTATATATCTGGTGAATAGATTTGCTCATTGTTATCTTCCTATATTCTCTTTCACATTCTTAGCTTATGACCATATTGCTTAATGATAATGATCCGAGAGCTTGCTTGCAGCGGTTTGTTCATAGTATGAGAACCATTCAAGGATCAATGATAGTTTCTTCCTTTGTCAACATCGTCCTTGGGTATGACCGGGAATGGGGGGAGCTGACAAGGTAATGGTGAATGCCGTTTTGACTATCAGTTCGTACAAATATTTTTTGCTTACAACTGGTTGCTTGCTTCTCAGTTATGTTTTGATCAGCAAACTATTAAGTTTTGGCTGCTAATTTTGTACACATTTTCTCTTCATCCTCCATTTCTCTAGATTATTTAGTCCCATAGTCGTGGTGCCAGTTGTTTGTCTCGTTGGTCTTGATCTGTTTGCAAGAGGCTTCCCTTTGGTAATTCTCTATGAATGCTTTTCTGCTTGATCAATACTGATAATATGCTGATTTAATCTGCTCCTTGATGCAATTAACTTATGATACAGCTAGTAACTGTGTGGAAATTGGCCTGCCTATGCTCATTCTACGGGTTATTTCCCGACAGGTATATAAGCTACACTGTCACTGAGTGCAACGTCTTATGCTGACATGCTTCTTCATTAACTTGACAAGGACTACTTGTTTGCTACAGTACCTGAAGCGCATCCATTCAAGAGTCCATCTAATACTTGAGAGATTTGCTTTGCTTTTCTGCATCGGAATTATCTGGGCTTTTGCTGCTATCCTTTGTGTCGGGTGCTTACAGCAATGTTAAGACTGCCACTAAACAAAGTTGCCGCACAGATCGATCGTACCTGATGTCTTCTGCTCCTTGGTATGTTCCTGATGTGCTGCCCTGCTTGTTGTATTGTCTCCTTTTTATGACTCAATTTTTTTCGTCACTGCTTCTAGGATCAAAATCCCATAGCCATTTCAGTGCGGTACGCCAATATTCAGGGCTAGCCATGTGTTCGGGATGATAGGTGTTGCACTTGTTTCATCTGCTGAGGTTTAGTCACAATCTTAAATGACTTCAAGTCTATTTGGTATTTTTATTTTGTAAGGCTGCACTTATTTTATTTTTTTGCTGAGGTTCAGACACTTACCTTTCTATGACTTTCAATGCAGTCAACTGAAACATTTTTTGCTGCAGCTCGGCTTTCTGGTGCCACAGCTCCTCCGGCACATGTACTGAGCAGAAGCATTGGCCTACAGGTCATTTCCTAGATTATTTGAATTGGTTTTTGAAACTTATTCGTCCATGATTTCCTTAAAAATGATAAACTGCAGTCCTGAGCCACATTATAATATTTTGTCATTGGTGAAGATAACTTAGTTATCTTGCTTCTTAATGCCTGGGCCTTGCTATGCTGCTTGTAGGGCTTTTTGGTTCTCTTGTCGTTACTACTGCATCAGTGTACGGTAGTTTTGTTTTTAAAGAGAAGTTCCATTCTATATAGAGTAGTCGTTTACCGTAAAATCCATAACGAATAGCCCTATCCTTTAGAAACTCGTTTCAGCGTCTGATCCGATTGATGTTGCAGTGAAAATGTTGGCCTTGTCAGGCTTACGCATATAGGAAGCAGAAGGGTTGTGCAGATTTCGACTGCTTTCATGATATTTTTCTCCATATTTGGTTTGTTTTTTGTACTTTTGTCATTAATTGCATTGAAAATTTTACCCTATATCTATCATGTTCATATTTGATTATGTTACCTTGCATTCTTGCAGGGAAATTTGGTGCATTTTTTGCCTCCATTCCATTGCCAATATTTGCTGCCATATACTGCATTTTATTGGGCATTGTTGGTGAGTGACTCTGTACTCTGTAGTCGTGATAGTTTCCGTTTCCGATATCCTATTCTTCCCTTAACTGGGAATTTTCGTCCCTCTCTTCCATCGTGATGCAGCTGCGTCTGGGATCACATTCATACAGTTTGCAAACAATAATTCCATGAGAAACATCTATGTTTTGGGTGTCTCTTTATTCCTCGGGCCGTCAATTCCTCAATACTTTGCAATGAACACAACTTACGTCGACGGTCATGGACCAGTTAGAACGAATGCCATATGGGTATGTAATGTATTGTGCTTACTGCGTTCTCTGTCTTGCTCGTCTCTGTCTGATATGCAAAGCCAATTGTAATGCATGCAGTTCAATGATATATTGAATACGATATTCTCATCACCGGAAACTGTGATATCATGGTTGGGACCATACTTGATAACACTCTGGAAGCAAATCATGTGGAAGATAGAGGAGTTCCATGGTGGAAACCATTCCAGCACAGCAAAGGCGATGTTAGAACAGAGGAGTTTACAGCTACCCCCTCAGACTAAATGAATATATACCCACCAGGTTTCTATAAACATGGTCGTACATTGTATATTATGTACAATACAGGCGTATGTCATGTTTATATGCTTGAATCATTTAGGGAACTGTCACTTTTGATGGATGCGCAGAATTTAACCTTCTACCTGCCTTTAGTTATTTCAGTCTTGTACCGTGCAAAATCTGCAATGGAATGAAAAAAAGAAAGCCTTGGTTACGTAATTTTAACTTTTCTGGAACAAATGAAAGTTAATATGTTTACTGATGTCCACTTGCAATAGTTTACCAAATAGATACAAAAAAGAGTGTTTCTTTCTCCGTGAAGATAGCTATTCTTTTGGTATTTTTT